ATTTACCACGGCATCTCTGTTTTATTGCATGCATCTGTTCAATTATGAAGTTTCATGGCACACCCTCATTCACAGTTTGCATATTTCATCCACATGTCATTCATTTGTTGTAAGTTGCCGTCATGGACCAGTTAAACATTACACTTGAAGGAGAGAATAAGTTGCTTGTAATACCTGCTGGATGATTTTAAATAAGTTGCAATTAGTGGTAGGCTAATTTTATAGAGGATTTCAAGGTCTTGCCAGGCCAGAAATATTATACATGTAGGTCCTCCAACAAGTCTGTTTTTTTGCCTTTGGGCTTTCTCCTAGTTTAACATAAAAAAAAAAAAAAAAATCTCTATTTAGGAGCACTGAGGAGCCCTCTAACTCAGATGCCCAAAGTACTCCAATTTAAACAACTGGATGGAGAAATGGCTCCAAACAAACAGGTGTTAAAACATTTAATTTCCAGGCAGTTTTGCAGCTAAACAATTCCAAGTGAGTTTTAAGTAATTACCTAGTAAGTTCCAAAATGGTAACCAGCAAGTTTCAGGAAGGTAACCAGCAGTTCAAGCAAATAAAAAAAATTAAATAAATAAATAAAGCACATACAAAAGGAAAACAAAAACAAAGTAGCAATCAAAACTTAAACAATCAAAAAAAAAAAGAGTTTATTTTGTTTTTAATAAACCACCGCTAATAGACATAAGTGACATTTTTTTTAAAGCCAACAAAATTGAAGACTTGATTTGTTCAACCCATTTATATTCACTACTATTGTATTACATTGGACAGTTTAACACAATTCTGATTTTTTTGAGCTGTACTTGAAAATGAATAGTTTATATCCTGTCATTTACACCATTTCCTCGCTATTAACAGCTGTAAGGTAAAGCAACCTAAATTAGGGTACATGTCCAAAGCATAAAAGGCTAAGTGATCAGGATTAGATAACCATCCCTACTGTCGATAAATATATGCTTATGTTTGCTAAAAAGTTAATCTTCCTCCAGCTATTTTTTTTAAATGGAGATTTAAACAAATTCTGCTCTAACCCTAAATCCAAAGTTATAGAACAGTCTAATCTCCATTCGTCAAGAGTGCAGTGTTAAGCTTGATTTAACAGGACACTGAGCATTGAAGTAGCTCTTTAACAACTGTTTGCAGATCTTGACGTTCTGTTACTGGAACTACCAGATCCTATCAGAAAATGGAACTTCGCATACAGATAATAGGAAGGAGCAAAAAGTGCTGCATCTTACACAATAACGCAAGCACAGCTTGAAGCCTGACTGAGGATGCCTGCAATCCAAGCAGATACTGTGTATGTTTGTCTTTTACACAGCTTCCATAAGATGAGTGTGAACAACTTACAAAAAGTTCCTTCTTTTTCAAGGTGTAGGTTTTACTATTGTTTGTTTTAGATTATGGCTCGTATTTTTGAAGTATATAGAGGGAAAGGGTAATGTTGCATGCTTTCATTTGTAATTCTTTGACCACAAACGTGGAAGGTTTTAATGGTTCCATCATCGGTAATGTGTTGAAATGAGCAGCGTGTTCCAATGAAACCCCTCTGTGTAGGAGGCAAAGAGAGGCTTATGTCATCAGCACCATCTCACTGAAATGTAAATACTGCTGTTTGTGAATATATTGACATTTTAGTATGTCATTTATCACAGTAATATTCTGGAACATTTGAACTTTTTGGAGAAAGGAGATGATATGTGACTGAAGTTCAACAGATTGAAGGTCAGTCAGCTCTGACCAGCTTCACTGTATCTGCAAAGGAAAGCATCCCCACACCATTATGCTGCCTCAACTATGTTTCAAGGAGAGTATTATATGTTTATCTAAACTTTCTTTGCACACGCTGAGCCAAGCCAGCATTAGCTTATGTATATGCTAATGCTGTTTGTTCACTTATGTTCTCAAACATACCAGGGCCTTCAAAAAACTGTTGGGTTTATACTTTAGATTACAAGCAGGAGGACTCTAATTAGCACTGTTTTCTTAAAGATTGCATTTAGGGTAGCAGAGTAAAAAAACCTGGACCAAGATGTCTACAAATACTCTGTAGCAGCATGGTAAATCGAAAGATTATGTTGAGGAGAAAGTAACAAACCTACAAAAAGAGATGAGGAGCAAAACACAGGCATTAAAACAGGCAATAGACACTGGGACTTGCTACATTTGTTATTCACATACAACCCTCTTATTAGCACCAAAATCTGGGCAGATCAGATTTTGAATCAATAGTTTTGCACTTTGTTATTGCACATTGAAACTGCCCGTAAAATTGAATTGCTGCCAGACACTGAAAGTTGGAGTTGTCCTGTAAAAAGAGGCAGAAACTCTGCCTCAGTGCACATTATTGATTATTTCTTCCATTGGGTACAACAGAATGCAGCTGAAAGAAACATAAATAACATTAAATAAATGAACATATTTTTGGAAAGTTTGTTCATATTGAGTGCACAGTGGCACTATTACTGTTGCCTCGCCTTGCATCAAGAAGGTCTTCGGTTGGATTCCTGGCCTTTTTGAATAGTGACCTGTTGAGGATAATAAGGGTTGGGTTGGGACGATAAGAAAAAACACCGCCTCCATACTTATTTGGACTTCTGGTAAGGATGTAGAGATGATGTGCAGTTCTGACTGCAGCATTTGCATCTAAAGCTAATTTTAAAACACTTGATGGAGTGGGAAGATCTTTTAGAAGATATTTTTTAATTAAGATAACAACTTGCTTTCCTGCTTAACTTACTTTACAGAGTTAGTTTTCACTAAATAACAAAAGTAAGTCTGTTAAAAAAAAAAAAAGGTCACATTTAGAAAAAAAAATTGCAGTGTAAGTTTATTCTTAAAAAGTATAAAAGATTCATCCATCCATCTTCTTCCGCTTATCCGGGGTCGGGTCGCGGGGGTAGCAGCTTCAGTAGGGAGGCCCAGATGTCCCTCTCCCCAGCCAGCTCCTCCGGGGGAACCCCAAGGTGCTCCTGGGCTAGCTGAGAAGCGTAGTCCCACCAGCGTGTCCTGGGTACTCAGTCAGAGCTGTAGATCACACCCTGATGAGGCCAATAGAACCTCATCATCTGCAAAAAACAGGGACGTGATCCTAAGGTCACCAAAACAGATCCCCTCAACACCTTGGCTGCACCTAGAAATTCTATCCATAAAAGCTATGAACAGAATCGTTGACAAAGGACAACCTTGCTGGAGTCCAACCCTCACCGGAAAAGAGTACAACTTACTGCCGGCAATGCAGACCAGGTTCTGACACCGGTCATACAGAGACCTAACAGCCCCTATTAAAGGGCGTGGTACTCCATACTCCTGGAGTACCCCCCACAGGACCCCCCGAGGGACACCGTCACACGCCTTCTCCAGATCCACAAAACACATTTAGACTGGTATGGCAAACTCAAGATTCAACTATCCGACAGACTCTACTTTCCTGAACCCTGGAATAGACCTTACCAGGGAACCTTAAGAGTGTGATTCCTCTGTAGTTGGAACACACCCTCTGGTCCCCTTTTTAAATAGGGGGACCACCACCCCAGTCTGCCAATGAAGGGGAACTGCCCCTGATGTCCACGCAATGGTGCAAAGTCGCGTTAACCAACACAACCCCACAACATACAGAGCCTTAAGGTACTCAAGGCGAATCTCCTCCACCCCTGGGGCCTTGCCCCAGAGGAGGTTTTTAACCATGTCGGTGACCTCAGCATCAGAGATGGGAGAACCCAACCCAGAGCCCCCAGGCTCTGCTTCCTCAATGGAAGATGTGTTAGTGGAATTAAGGAGGTCACCAAAGTACTCAGCCCACTAACACACGACGTCCCGAGTCGAGGTCAGCAACACACCACCCCCACTATATAAATTGCAGTACCATCACTATAAATAGTGATGGTACTGCAATGCTCCATAAATAGCTGTATGGAAGTCTTTCTCAATGGCCTCTCCGAACTCTTACCGTGAACCAGTTTTTGCCTCAGTGACCAGCCAAGCTTCTGGAGTCTCACAGGGTAATAAAGCCCGATGGGACTCCTTCTTCAGGTTGATAGCTTCCCTCACTGGTGCTGTCCACCAGTGTTTTCGAGGGTTGCCGCCACGACAACTTTGCAGCCACAGCTCCGACTAGCCGCCTAAAAAATTCATTCGATTTAACTTAATTCACTTCATTTAAGAGTTTTCAAAAATCAAGAGAATTTTTTGTCATCATTTGCACATCTTTATCATTCATACCAGTAGGTGTGAAAAGCACCAAACAAGGACATCAGATATATTATGAAAGCAACAAGAGGTTTGTCTCAGGCTAAACAACAACCAAGTTTAACAGATGCTTTCAGGGATTTCTTTAAAGAAAGCCATCAGATGTCAAACATCTTTTCAGCAAGTCCATTACAATATTGAAATGTAAGTCACATTTGTTTTCTTGCAAGCCTGGAAGGTTTTCACACTAGTTTATCCTTGCTACATTTCTGCATCTCTGTGCTATAAATAAATAAATAAATAATGAAAACATCCTTCAGGAAATATTGCCATTATGAAACCTTTAAATCTCAGAGTGCAAGAGAGCCTTATAGTCTAAAAACATCACACAGGGATCTGAGACTAAAGTGAACCACAGAGAGAAAGTGGATGATTTGGTGTATTTTTTTGATAAGGCAATTTTTGCTTTCCTAACTTTTAAACTTCACAGGCTGGTTTAATTTTTTTTATTTATTTACATAAAATAACAGATTTTAGTAATTTGCCTCAGACAACAATAAAAAGTTATCCTTTTATTTTACAAACCTGACATGAAAAACACTGGTCATTTTTTTTCTCCTTGAGCAATTATTCTGTTCAAATAGCTTATATTTCTCTCCAGGCAGAGAGTGCTCAGGCTGAATGGATGCTGCCACTGCATAATGGTCCTCAGACGTTTGTTGCCAAGGAAACGTTGGGAGGGCATGTGGAGAGAGAGGTATAAAAACACTGGCAGCTCCACTCTGGCTCTTACTCTGTGGCGAATGCACTGGCTGTCATCACAAAGAGGTGTTGGACAATTCATCACAGACGTCCCTTCTCAGTTTGTCGGCTCTTCTCCACAAGTGAGTGTGTGGAAGATGATGAGGCCAAAAGATCTACGCCAGGGCTCTGGTACCAAAACCTTCCTAGATGCAATGCACGGCGGTAAAGTCCACCTCGCGCGCTTCATCCTGGATGCCTTGGATGGACGCATCATCAACTCAAAAACTGAGAATAGTCGCACCCCGCTTATGTATGCTGTATGCCTGCAAGACCCTGGGACCAGAACCAAGTTCACGCAGCTGCTGCTGGAGAAAGGGGCAAATGTCAATTGTCAGGATGAGGATGGCCGCACAGCACTGAGCCATGCCTGTGAGGTGGGTCACTTGGACGTCATCAAACTTTTGGTGCAGTTCAGTGCCGACCCAGATGTCACTGATGCTTGGGGAAACAGTGCCCTCATGTACGCTGCCTTTTCTGGACATAGTCAGGTGCTGGAGTTCCTGGTGAGGGCTTTCAAAAGACTGGGGCTGGGGTTAGACAGGACCAACAATGCTGGACACTCAGCTAAAGAAATAGCCAACTTTTTTGGGCACAACCAGTGCGTCCAGATATTGAATTTTCCTTGCAGAAAGGGTGTTTGCAGAGATGATCCACCTGCTGATGAGTTAAAAGCTGTTGAAGTAGAGCGCCGCCTTCCAAATAGGCTTCCGAGGCATGTTCTTGAGAGGTTTTCCAAGCAATCAACAGATGAAGAGCAACTGCCAGATGTGTTTCAGGGACAGACAAAAACAGGAGAAAGCACTGGACTGCGGAGTCGCTTCAGGTGTCCCAGGAGTCAGTCTCAAGAGTATAATCACTGCAACAGCTGGGTTCTGCCTCCTCAGATAGAGAAAAGTCCAACTGAGGAGGATCACAGCATTCTCATCACAGCCAAACAGCTGCAAAACTGCCAGATTAGAGAGTTAAAGGGGTCAAAATTAATGAACTTTGTTCCTGAGCAAAGCCAGAGAGACATCAGTCGAGATGTTCGCCTTCCAGAGCAAAAGCAAGAGATTTTTCCTCTCTGGGGAAAGGCAAAATCGTTTAACCTGGACCTTCTGAGCAGCAGAAAGCAGTCCTATCAGGGTGATGTACGTGACATGAGGCTGTCAGCCAGCAAATTAAAGAGAGCCTCGCTACAGGATGACAGATGCCTGATAGACAAGATTGAATGTCAAGGGAAACCCCCAGCTCTGATAAATGAAGGCAGCAAAATTGCTTCAGCACCAAAACCTTTTTTGAACAGCATGGCTCAGCCTGGGAAAGCCCTCCCAGAGAAACTCAAATCTGAAAAAGAAGAAGCTAACGAGAGGGCAACATTAAGCCGAAGAGGGCAACAGAAGAGAGGAAGCCTCGGCTCAGTGTCCCGACACAACAAACTCCTTTTCCCCAGGGAGGAGATTGAGTCGGAGAAGTTCCCGAGCCATACCCCAGGGTTCATGGGCCTGGGGACCAGACTGCTGCGTCGGTTCACTGCTCCAGAGTTTATGAGGATGGTGATCGACTGTTCCTCTGGCTCCTCAAACGGAAGAGGTCGAATGTCTCGCTCTGAAACCTACCCTCTGTCAAACACACACCAGCAGGTCAACAGTCAGCCGAGCGTTGACAGCATCAGCGCTGTGAAGTGTGAGTTTGAAAGCTACTCGTCTCAGTCTACAATCGGTTAGACAAAGATTTATTTCTAAAAACAGAATGCCTGCTCATGTTGCTTATTTTTTGCACTTGATTTCTAACATTTTCAATTCTAAGATATCTGATGGTTTGATGAAAAAAAATTAAAAAGAATACCTTTCTTTTGTTACCTTTTGAAGATTTTCAATATGAGCATAAAATGTTAAATGCAAATGGCTCATTTGCAACAGGATGTGCCACCATATATGAAAAATGTATAATTTCTTTATAGATTTCCTTTTCCATTTTGCATTTACATCACATGGACCAAAATGGGAAAAAAATGCTTTTGTGTCTTGAAGAAAATATGTATTTTGCTTTAAAAAATCTGTGACTGTACATACTAAATGCCTAATAAAACAGTATAACCTCTTCAGTTTTTGTCCCATTCATTTGCATTTTTCTTCTCATATACAAATAATTAAATCATATCACATTTAGAGTTCTGTATGCATTATTTATTGATTTATACAAAATTTAAACGCATTGCTCTCTTTGTCATGAATGATCCACACAGGAATAGAAACACACAAAACAAGTGTATCCGTGTCGAATTACAAAGACTATGTGCAAAGTTTGAACTGGGCAGGAAGGTGTCCTGCAGCACTACATGCCAGGCCTGTGTGCTTTGTGTAGGCAAACAAATGCAAAAACAGCCCCCCTCCACACACAACCAGCACACCCTCACACATACACATACATCCACGTCATAATCAGTATCGCTGCACACATCTTCTGGCTTTTCATTTTTTGTCACATCTGTCACAATACAAAGAGGGTCGTATCAACAATGATGGAAGGTGTGTGCCTAACACACACCTGCTGCTTCATACATACATACACACCTATACACTCACATTTAAGGAAATTAAAGTACAGTTTGAACTTAGCAGTGGAAAGAACCCTAATATCAAGGATTTCTATTTACATTATTAATGTGTCTATGTTTTGAGTCCATATGAATTTATTATTTAACTATTCGCATTTTCACATCATACAAACAACCTACAACACCTTTTTTATAGAAATAATGAAATATGTAAAAGGAGTAAAAGAGGAGAGTGGCACTGTTTTTTTTTCCAGTGGTCCAATAGTAGCAGCTGGGCTTTTATTTACCCATTTATTATGCTAATATAGAGAATTGTCTTTCGCATCTCCATTACATTTTCAAGCATTCACATCAGGCCAGGTGTGCCTCCATTTGGACATGCAAAGAGTGTGTCGTCGTCCAATTTCCACAACAGAGAGGATGTGCAGAGGTACCTTTATTCTGTCACAATGAGCTACTGTGGTTGGAGCCTAATGAGTTTTGCACAGCTTGCATTAATACCTACTCAAAACACCACAAAGGGGTTTTAGAGTAGTACTTGTTAGGAATATGTGAAAGATAGATTTCTGTTGTCAGTGCATCATGCACCATATTGTGCCATGTCAATCTGCTGAAAGTTGCAGGAAGCCAATTGAGTTGAGAGGTGAGGACTTGCATGCTGCCTTTAGCTCATTTCTAAAGTGCTTCTCACATGCCCCAGACTACGTCGCGCTTGACAAACAAACTAGCCGCCATGATGCTGGCAGCAGAGTGCTGCCTGGGTCTGCTTCCATGGAGCTGTCAACCACATTAGGATTGCTGGATCCTGTCCTCTTCATCAGGCCTGTACAGTACAGAGAAGGCTGAAGTTAGGCCGTTTGGGGAATTTTAACTCAAACGGGTCAGCAGCGAGACATGCGTTTCCGGTATTGTTCCACCAGTGGGACCAGGCACTGAGGTGAACCGCTCTGCAGCAGGAAGGGGTGCTCCAGCAAGTCAGTGGCGCTGGACCGCTCCAGAGGGTCACGAGTCAACATGCGATCCAGAAAGTCTTTGAGAACTGGAGAGATCTGAATGAAATAGAGAAACAAATACACTAGCGGTTAGCAATTCTGTGTAGCAGAAATAAATCCCCTGTACAGTGTTGTATAAAAGTATTCATACCCTTTGAACTTTTTCACTCACTAAAAAACCTCACTAATTAAAAATCTGAGGGAACTGGTTCTCCAGGCTTGACCTGCGCAGGGGAAGGTGATGGTGGGGCTTGGTCGAGGGGGCTTATAGTCCTGTACCTGACTCTGTGCCTCTCTGGCCTGGTGGCTGCTACTCCTCTGCCTTGCTAATGACATGCCTCTCTGCAGTACATTGGGCTGCTATAGGGTGACGCCTTCTTTCTGTGACTGCTGCAGCCTTCTGGAGCTGGCTCTGCCTGTCTTGAAGCTGCAGGCCTTCTACCGTTCTTGCTACTCTTCCAACTTTGCACCTCAAGGTTAAAACCTTGCTCATAAACCCCAACTCAACACAAACACACTAGTCTCTACAAACAGATTGTTGGGGGAGTGTTGGCCTAGTGGTTATAGCAGTACCCTTGTGCTCTGAGAAGGTTGCAAGTATCTGGTTTGCTCCCCACAGCCTCCACTCTGGATTCCTGAGCAAAAACCTTAACCCCACACTGCTCCCGGGGCGCCACACAATGGCAACCCACTGTGCCTCAAGGGGATGGTTTAAACGCAGAGAGTGAATTTCCCAATTGTGGGACAATAAAGGTAACCTGACTCCGCTAGATGGATTTGCTCCGCATATCCATCTGGAAACCTTCCGTTGAAGTAATTTTGGGAAGGGGCGAAAATACTGGTTAGCTGATTGGCCTATGTTGGTGATAGACGGGCCAAATAAACCAATCAGATCAATGAAGCATATGACGTAATAACAGAGCGACGACAAAAACACAACCACAAGCCAGGCTACTCTTGCCGAAACCACTCGGGAGAAGAGCAAAAACATCTTTTCCTCTGAGAAAAGCCTCCAGAGCAGTGTTTTGCTCTTTTTTCAGTGAAGAAATACTCTGTAATTCCGATAAAACTTGCTCGATAGCGTTCTTTGGACTGAACTGTCGCGCTTCTCGTTGCGTCACACCTCAACCCGCCTCAAAGCCAACGCTGATTGGACGTTCGTTTGGTGAACGGCTCCAAATTTTCTTTAATGGAGAGTCTCCAGAATGATCTGCGAGTGAAACCTTTAAAGCTCGCGAGATCAGGATGGTCTCACGAGACTACAATAAAGGGGATTTCATTACATTTACATTACATTCACTCACCTACACACATTAAAAAACACACCCTAAATATTACTAATAGACACGTATCCCTAAACCTAATCTAAACTCCTCCTAAATCTAACCTCCTAAACCTAACCCTGACCTGAAAAGTACACTTTCCTTTATGGGGACCCAGAGTTTAGCACTTTCCTGAGAGATTGTCTCCACAAAATAAGAAATCCATAACCACACACTGACACAGAAATGGCCAAATGTCCTACAAACGCACCTTACTATTACATCAATGTGACGTGTCTACTTTGATGCTGGATCAAATGTCGTTCTAATAAAAGTCAGTCATGCAATTAGGACATCAAGTAGGAGCAAAACCGCCTTTAGTCAGACTTTAAGTCAAAACATCTAACCAGAGCATTTCCTTCCACATGTTTGTCCTGTTCTGACTAAATACAAACAGGATTTTTGCTTGGTTTTTCTAGACGTAATACTTTAGCTAGAAATAAAGCGACCTCTGAGGGCAATTGGTTGAACTAAACTTTGTTTGGAAGCACGGGAGTAAAACATGCGCATTTCTACATGTATGTACACATTTCTATATGTAAATGTTTTCCTAAACTTTGCAGTCAAAGATGATCTTGTGTTAATCTGTAACACAAAATTCATGGAGTATGAATATCTTAACAAAAATTCAACATTTTATATACCAAAGATTTAAAAAGCTTGATTGTAGCGTGCAAATAGTTTGAGTAACTTCTAATGTCTTTATGTTTTCTGTAAAGAAACTACTCTGAAGGAGTGAAAAAGCTGTTAAAGTCCAAATAAATACTTAGAAAGACTCGCAAATGAAACAAAAAATACTTAACAAGACCCTATTTAGAAGAAAAGAAGAAAATGGGGTAGTGTACATTTCATGTGAGGGCATTTGTGTTGGGTTTTTTTTTTATTTACTACCTGGCTGACATTTCGAACAGTTGGAGCTGGCTCGTCCCTGAGCCTCTTCATTGCTGCTACAGGTGTTTCACTGAAGTATGGGGGCTCTCCATCCACCATCTCCACCACCATGATACCCATGGACCATACATCAACCTTGTGGACAAAGAAGTAAACACTGTAACAGCTCTGATAGCAGAGGTGGGGATAATAGTTGAGATTATCAGTGGTTTTCTCCTCACCTCCGTGCCATATGGGGATTTGGATATGACCTCTGGAGCCATCCAATAAGGTGTCCCTACTAGAGACTTCCTCTTAGGGATGTCCTTACTGATCTGGGCACAGAAACCGAAGTCTGACAGCTTCACCTGGAGGAAACCCAACAGAATTACAAATTAAGGTGAAGAAAAATCCAAACTAGACAGCTGTTGGGTGGGGGAGCGTTGATGTGTCATACCCTTCCATCTAGTGTGAGTAGGATAGAGTCACTCTTGATGTCTCTGTGAATGACGCCCTGTGAATGGAGATAGGCCAGAGCTTGAAGAACAGCCTCGCACACTGTGGCAATCTGCTCCTCACTCAGCCTGCAGGAAGACAAGTTTTACACATATAAAAGGCTGACTGTACATGGGCATCTCACACATTCCCGCTACCGGTTCCAACAGCCCAGAGCGCTGAAAATTAATGAATCACTGCACGTTAAAAGCAATGATAAAAGGTGCAAGGTTCAGAACAACAACTCCTACACAAGAGAAATGACGAATGAACATACTCCTTCCTCCCCAAAGATAATGTGGCTTTTTTATTTCACTATTGCAACATAAACATATACGGAGCTGTCCAATTGTATCCATGCATCTGAAATATTTCCAGGATTTTATACAGGCATGGATCTGTTTTATTAGGAGGGAAGGAAGAGTGTTTTTTTTTCATCACAATTTATTTGGAAAAACATATCCTTAAGAGGTTTGCAAGGCTATATTTCAACCCACTTTATTATGATACCCCTGAATAAATCTGGTAAAACCGACTCTTTAGACCACTCCCCTTATTCCAAACACAGTGGTTTTGTCAACGCCTCAGGAAGAGTGAAGCACAAATGCGTTTTACCTGAGGTAAAATGCATTCAGTAATTTCCCTTTTGGATCATTAAAGTATTTCTGATTCTGAAATGCATTATTGGTAGTTTTAGCCAACATTGCAGGACCTACAGAGATTCAATATGCTTGTCTTCAGAGAAGAAAACCACAACCCACTTTTAAGATTCTTATTTAAAGAAAAATGTAAAATCTATACAGCATTTCTTTTTCCTCTCGCTACAGAATTATGCACTGTTTTGTGTTAGTCTGCCACATAAACTTCCTTTTGAATTTGACATACTAAAGTGCTTGGTTGTAATGTCACAGCTGTAGGGGACAGTAAACACTGAGCTGTTTTCCTTTAGCAAGAGAAATCAGACATAGAAGCATCTTAGCGGACAATAACAGATTGAGGTAATCCTTTACATGGAGAGTAATTGTCTACAACTTTGTTTCTACTGCTGCGCATTTGTGAAAGACAGAAGAAAAAATCACACTAATGGTCAAGACTCATTCAATCTGCCTGCTCAGTTTCCTGGTATGCGTTACAATATGAAAGCAGTTAAGGAAAGTTCAAAACCTCCACTCAAAACAGACTCAAAATAGTAATTAAAAAACATAAAATTGTTTTATAACAACAGCAGAGGGAGGCGGACTTAATGAGTTTGAATTTATCTAAAAAGGGACAATGCCTATTGATGGAGAATTGAATATACCAGATTATAGCCTACAGTGGATTTTTAACTGTCCGTTTGGCAGGTTGAGTCAACAACATAAAGTAATAAAAACATAACATAAAAAAATCAAAATAAAATCAATAAAACAACAACTAAACCTTTATGATAGTGAGCAGTATAAGCAGGTAGAGAAATGATATATAGAGAAAACATGTCTTTGAAAACAATTGGATGGAAAATAAAGGGAAAAGCAAGAACAATGAAAAATATAGTGAATCGCACATATTTCACTAGTGTTAAAAAGATAAAATTAGATGTCAAAGGACTGAAACTTTAAATGTGCAATTATATTGCTGATTGCCCAATTACACAGTCAATATAAGTGCCAAAGAGTGAGACAATACTCAAAAAGCATCAAATCAATCAAATACCAATGATTATAATCACATGGTTCTAGAAATACCCATTTTTTAGGAATATAAAATGTGTCTTGCCTTGCATGTAGCACTTACCCCTAAAAGGTAAATAAAAAGAACATTTTGAAAATGAATTTGGTAATGTAAATAGTAATGATAATAAAGCAGTGATGTTTATGAAATTAGGGATAGTACACCAATAGTTTGCTAGTATCTATAAATATACAAGTTTATGGCATCAGTACTCTTCTTCCAATAACCAATCTTTAAGGTGTTTGGTCAAAGAAGGGAGAGTGGGGAGTTCATTTTTGAGTTTGGTATTGAATTGCAGGAATGACAAGCATAAACAAAGAGAGGGGCTTGAATAAAGGAACCACACAGTCGCCTCTAGAACCAGCTCTTGTTGATCTGTTTGAGTTGGGCTTTTTTCTCCACAAATTCTTGAAACAATGGAGGTGCTTTTCCATGGCAGATTTTGTAAATTAAGAGAGCATTGTTGTGTTTAACAGTGCTGAGCACAAACACACGTTGATTGTACCATGATGTTACCAAAGTTGTCTTTATAAACTGTTTTCGTCTGCTTTATCGTCACCTTACAGGCTTATGTCCAACTTGCTATGCAGTTGGACTTATGTGACATGGTCAAAATACAAATTTACTGACTCAATATTTAGATTGTGTCTTATAAATCAAAAGTTTGACAAGTTAAACTTATTTTTATTCACAGTAGTTTTGAATTCTCATTAAACTCCTAACTATTTCAACTCTTTTACAGCATCAATTGTTGTACCTTTTACAAAAAGCATTAGGGTCACCGTGATTATTTACTCTTTTTGTACATGCACACAGTGTTGGATATGTTCATGCATAGCTTGTTATGGTTCTCCCTTTGTTGACTTCTGTTGGAGTTTGTTTTTAAGTTTTCAATTCCACTTTAATTTATATTATTCTGTGTTTTCTTGGTTCATTTTGCATTTGGTGTTATATTTTAGAAGTCTTGTATGTTTTAAGTTACTTTGTGTTGCCCCCTTGTGCCAGTCTCCTTTCCCTTAGCTCCTTCTAATTACTTCCTTCTACACCTGACCTCTACCAGATAATTAGTCCTCCCATTGTTTCTGTCTGCCATATATATTTTTCCTGTTCAGTTACTCTTTGCTGGTTTCTCATTGTTGCTTTTTTCCCAATGTGTGTTTTCCCCTGATGTCTCCTGGTTTTTGGTATTTTTTTCTTGGATATTTTTTTGTTGCCTTTTTTCTTTGAATCAGCAAAACTCATCTCTGCCTCCTCTCTACATATGGGTCCTTAACCAACCTCTACCCTTTGCTGACATACAGTGGCTAGGATTTTACATGCCAGTTACACATATTCGTCAAACCATCTGTCAGCACTAGCACAGTGTGTTTTTTATCCTTTGCATCGTTGTATAGAACAGATTCATCAGCATACATTTGGCAGGTGATAATTGTAGGACAACAACTTGGTAGATCATTTATAAACCCACTGAAAAGCAGCTGACCTAGCACTGATCCCTGTGGTACCCCAAGATTGTTGTTGCATAATGTTGACTTCATATTCTGCATCCCAACACACTTTGATCTTGCAGATATACGTGATTCAACCAAATTTAAAGTACTTCAGATACTTTAGATCCGATCCGATGATAAATGATGTCAAACACTTTTCTGAGATCAATGAATACAGCACCAACAACGCCGCCTGCTTCTAATTTAGATTCTATGTTTTCCAACAAGAAACAAGCTGCCGTCTCAATAAAATTAAGGCCAAATTGCATCCTGTTCAAGGTGTATGGACTGTTGTTAAGAGCATCTGCAATTTGTTACTCTACTATTTCTGCTGAAAGTATGCTTATCCCTCTGTAATTGCTGTTTATTGCAGGATTACATGACTTAAAGGCTGGTGTCTTGACAGAGCACTTCCAGAAGGGAAGTAACTTTCGTTTATGGTTTTATTTATTATAGTTAAGGGTGTGAAGAAAGATTCTATGTAATATTTTAGAAATTTTACATCAATACAAAATGCAGATCAAAAACAGCTTAATTAACTTGTGACTGAGACACTACACAGAATAAGAAAGGGTTTGTTAGCATTCATTGCCATCGGGGTGGCATTCTATCTGGAGGCAATAGCTTTGAGTCAGTTCTTTAAATGAGTATTAAGTAATCCTTCAAAGTTGCTACAATATCCCTTGGATCATAAATGGCTTTCTCCTCTAACTGTAGCTCCTAAATTTCTCTCTGCACTATACCAGTTCTGATCCGTTTTTATTTATATATATATATATATATATATATATATATATATATATATATATATATATATATATATATATATATATTTGTCCAGAACCACTTAGTATTTCCCCTTGCAGTATTAATTATATTAATTACTAAAGAAATGCTGCTTTTGCAGATCAAATTTCCTTAACCACTTTATGTCTAGGAGAAGTAACTGTCTGTCTATCATTCATTATGTTTGTCTTGATTGATATTTTAAGAGCATGATGTTTTTATTTCAGTAATTTTCATATGATTTCATTCATCAACAGAAGGTGATTCTTTTTTGATGGTTTCCCTTGATTTTAACAGTAAATGCAGACATTGTGTCTTGAATAAAAGTCATGAATACATCACAGTTGTCACCAACATGATTCTGGGTGAGATAATTATCCTAAATTATATCGTTAAGCGCCTGTGTCAAATTTAAACCTCCAACCCTTTGTACTCTCAGCTGTTTTAATGTTGTTTTCTTATTACAAGAGAATCTATTTTTAGATAGCTTTCTTGAGGAAAGAAAGGAGTTATGACAGATCATTTTGAATGCTTTCTTTATTTCTCTCACTCTTATTACAAAAGACAGGATCTATGCATGTTCAGAATACGTAATTAGTGTAGTAGGACCTTTTATTAATTGAGTAAAGTTCAAATTAGTTAAGAGTTATTTTAACTGCCTCTGAAACAAGTTGTGTAACCAGTAAATATTTAAATCTCCCAGTAAGATTTCTATGCTTTCTATGTTGAAGATCAACATAGAAAGCACTTCAGGCTGCTGGAGGCCCATGACAGAGCATATTACCGTCTTTGAACACTTTTCCCTCTCCAGTCTATACCACACCACCCCCTTGTGGCTGATTAGCTCACTGATTGAAAAGAGAAACCAAAGGATTTTAATCCCTTGCATTATACCTTGTTTCCGATACGATGTTGGTTAGCGCTCCTCCTTGCAGGTACTCCATGATGACCCACAGCTCCTCCTCAACCAGGGCAGACTTGAACATCTCCACCACATTCTTGTGCTGATAGTCCCTCATGATAACCACCTAAAGCACAAAATATTTGCACAGTTATCACAAGGCTCCGAAACTACAGGTTATATTTTATTTTGCTGTAAAGGGGGTGTGAGGTTCAGCAATTATAAATTATTCTAATGAACTGCATTGAGGTACTTGAATGAATAACACATATTGTATTTTCTTTTTGCACATATAAATTAAGAGCTGTTTTTTTTTATCTGTCTTGCATGCTGCCATACATGCCATTATGGCTGGGTATTTTCGCCAAAGTCCTGAATAAATTCGATTTTGATTAATACAGTTCTAAATCGATTAATTTGGATTCTATCTGTTTTTACAACAATGAAAGTGGTTCAACTGTGTTTCAAAATACTCATGTATTTTATTTTTCCTGTCACATTAAACACAAAGTGCAAACTTGTAAATCAGACAGTTTAAACCTGAGATGTGAGCAAAACTGTCTCATAAGTGCAAACTTGTTTGGGAAAAATGAAAAAGTGAAGCCTCACTCGAGCAAGCAGACATGACACAGCGGGGACACAGCAGACATGCATGAGCTGCATTATCTTCGCTGCACAAACCATATTTGCAGCGTTGGCTGTAACAACTACAGGGTGTTTGCTGGTCAGCCCCCATTTGTTAATGTCTTATGTAATTTAAAATATTTAATAATATTTGCAGCTCTCTGACTTAAAGTAATCTTGAGTGCATCTTTCCTGCTCATTTGAATGTGAACGTCAGGCATCTTAAAACGAATCTATCTCATTCCCTAGACATCGATTTTACAAACATGTAAAGGAATCGATTCAAAATCTTTTTTTTTTTTTTACTCAGCCCTACATGCCATATATAAAAAGTTAACCAAACTGGTAAAACAAGAGGAAGGATGTAGCACCTATCAGAGGTTTAAGCAAAGACAGCAAAAAACAACAAAGAAACAGAGGGACTAACCCAGGAATGCTTTCGATGTGGGATAAAACTAAAATATTACTTTAGAATATTAGGAGAGAAACAGCTAACAAAATAAGTTCTCAGAAAATATTTAAAGAGAGAAATGGCACGTGTTAGCGGCACGCTAAAAGGCCAACCAACAGCAGTGTAGGAAAGTATTTGCTGAAAGGCTGATCAAATGGATTATCTATAGAAGAAGAGCATAAAGACTTGGACAGCCAAGACAATGTTTTTTCATGTTTAATGAAAAATGTTATTATTATTTAGAATTTTATGTGATAGACCAATGTAAAATATGGTACAATATAAAATAAGGAAGTTATAAGAAAATTATTCAGACTTTTTTTTGGTCATTTTTCTTTTATCATAGTCTTTTTGTAGAATCAGCTTTTTCTACAACGCACAGTCTGTTGGGGTATGTTTCTCCCAGCTTTGCAATTTTAGAGACAAAATGAAGCTAAGTTAGAGTGGATGGGGAGGAGAGAACATCCTAAGCCTCTTCTGTTCCTTAACAGGTTTTCCCTGCTAAAGAAAAAGCATTACCACAGCATGGTGCTGCCACCTTCAGGGCAGTGCATTACTATTTTTTCCTAACAAAGGCACGTTCTTCCACATATTTGACTTTTCCTGCACATAGTCTTTAGTAAACATAACTTCTCACAGATCTTTTTTTCCCGCTCTTTCATTAAAGTGAGATTGGTGTTGAGAAGTAAAAGGTGTCTGTGTAGTCTTCCCCTTTTGATATGGATCTATGCAGCTCATTCACTGTTACCATGGCCTGGTTTTCCTGCAAGTTTTCAGATTATAAACAGTGCTATATTATATTCAGAGCTAGCAATATTTTCTTATAAAATGACTTCTTAAAATTCTCATAAACCTTACGGCTTTCGTGATACACACAGATAGGCTTTATTTACTAACTAGCAGTCTTCTAGAGGTAAGTTAAATTTGATTTTCTTTAGGTACAATAGAGCTAATGGGGCTAAATACTGTATGCAGGTAACACTTTTTAATTTTCTTTTTTTGTAAAATAGTTTCAAAACCAGCATTCCTTCTTAATTAGTTTACAATCAGGTCAGCCTTTTTGGGAGTGTCACATACAAAGCTTTCCCAAAATGTCAAAGCTTTGACTATAACATGACAAAATGTGAAAATGTTTAGGGACAGACTTGTAGGGTCTGACTAGATGTTTGTACCTCATTGAAAAGCAACTCTCTCCGCTGCTGCCGCCGCAGGTCCATCATCTTCACAGCAACTTGTCTTCCAGTATGCTTTTCTGTAGCGATACACACCACCCCTGTGGAACCCTCCCCGATCTTCACAAAGTTTTCTAGATAAGTCCTTGGATCGCCCTTATCCACCACCATCTGCAGAGCTGCTTTGAACTGTTCATGTGTCACCTTGGGCGGGTCAGGGGGCGGTCGGGGGGCAGGATATTGAGGCGGTCTAAAAGCAGGTGAGCAGGTTCCTGGAGGACTGGTGGCTAATGAGCCTGTGGGTGAAGGTCGAGGTTGGGATGGGCTGTCCTGCCGGGGATAAGGGGGGTTTGGGCATCCAGAATGCCTGAGGAAGGGGTCTGGTACACTGGGCCTCAGACCCATATTAGGAGACAGTCCTAGAGTATAGCTTGCTGAAGAACGCACCATGCGCTGAGGTCTCATGCCTCCGACAAGAGGGCTGCTGGTGCCAGTCGGCAGGAAACCAGAGTGGTATCTCACTGATGACTCTGCCTGCATGAAAAGAGGAGAGAGACAGTTGAAAGGGTGTTTACCACCTGCCTCAGGCTCATTGCCCACTTTAAACCTTAATGTTAATCAGGTCCGCCACTTCTACCCTAAATTCCTTTCACCTGATTTAAGTCGTGTTTAAACCTTCCTTTGGCATCAGAGTCCCAAGAAGAACATGAACATTTTTACAACCAAACAAAAACTTAATCCCACATTATTTATTTAAGACTGGACTCAAATAAAAACTGAAAGTCAGACTCATGTTTAACAAAAGCGGCTAAGCCATGGGTTTGCATTTTAATACAATAATTACTGAGAGTCTTGTTGCTTTATATTCCCTATATAAATGCAAAAGGAACGGAAAAAAATATATAGAAATTTAAAACAAAATTATTTTTGGTTATATTATTAAATTTACATGACCTCAAATTGCTGACGCATAGTACATACATAAAACATGCTTGTGAAACTGGCTAAGGTTTCAAAAATAGTTTAGTTATTGATGTTTTTAAAGTATGCAAAAAACAGTTAAGCCTTAAATCATATTATACAGCAGAGATATAGATTTTTTTATTTTATTTCTTCAACCAGATTGGCCTTGACAGGAAATAAAAATAGACAATGTGAAAGAAGAATCCGTTTTAAAAAAGTGTTTTAAAACCTTTTAATTTGGCATGTTTAGGTATTTGTCATGAGAAAGTGTTTTTGAAGCAAGTTTCTGCAGTGATAGATGCAAGTTGTTTTTTGACGCATTTACAAATAAAACTTCTGTTGATAAATTATAAGTAATAAAAAAAATGAATCAACAATGAAAAAAACAACATGATATTTTTATTTTTTTAAGAAACCTATTAAATTGTTGATAAATAATTCAATATTTTCTGTCATTATTGATTACATGGGTTTTTTTAAGATTAAAAATGCTGGTTAGTTTAGTTTTTTAAGCTGCCGGTAACTATTAGAATGAATTTTTGTGGTAAAAAAAAACAACAACAATAAAAACATTTTAATGATTACTGACCACATGCTTAAAATCCTGATATATACACAGCATCAAAATATTCATAAATGATGTGCTCCATGAATAATTTATCATCTATGTAGAGTTGTGCTTACTTTTAGGTCATAGGAGGAGAATGGCCTCCCTGGGCTGTTCTGTGGATGCATGTACATGGATACGTTGGGTCTGAGCTCCGTTCCAGTGGTCCCTTGATCTCCGTGGAGCTGCTGTAGCGTCACAGCAGGGCTGTAAAAACATGCTACGGGTCTCTGATTTGGTGGCATTCCTCTGGGAAGCTGGAAATCTCTTTTCCATATTAGCCTTTCTTGAGGACTTCCAATCTCCCCGCTCATATATGGTCCATGGCTTGGTGCTGGGATGTTCTGGGTTGGTGGAGGTGGTAAGGGTCCCTCCACTGAGCTGACACCAACCTCATAGGTTGATTTGGCTTTTGGCAAGATCCCATTGGGCTGCAAAGTGATGCTCTTCTTCATACCCAAATAGGGGGTGTTGGTTTCACTGTGAATGTTCCTTCCCCTGTCCCTCCAGTGATCCTGACCATCATCCATCTCCTCATCATCATCATCCTGGGTTAGGCCCTCATATTGGTAACCGTCCCCTTCGTTTTCCTCTCCCAACCTTCCCAAAGACTGGGCTCTCCTTCTTGCTGAAGGGCTACTCTTCCGCAAAGAGTTGGAGCTGGTCACAGACAGGCGGCTCATGTCGTTGATCATGGCAGAGATGTATTCCCCGTGACCAATCATGCTTCCACGGACAATAGTCTGAAAGAGAAAAGATGTTTATGCCACTCTGGATGACATGATTACATTACCGAGATATTTTAATGCTAAAGTGATAATGAAAGTGACATAATAATTGCTCTCAGGCAGGCAGAATTTAGACGTAGGAATGTGTAAGAGACATCTTTGTCGATTTTTAAAGACAGTGACTTCAGCACCCAGAGTCAGTCCTTTGAAGATCTACCTTTTGATTTGGGCAAATTAACTCAGGCTCAAATATGACACAGAGCACCTGGTCCTGTCACAGATTATCGACGGGATTAGGTCTAATCTCTGACTGCTGAATTCTAACACATTCTAAGCCATTTGAATGTAGCTGTGAGTGAACCTCCTCCTTAGGCTCTAGTCCTTTTAACCTCTAACTGCTTTTTTAACATGACAGTTCTGTATTAAGCTCTATCTCTCTTTCCAATGATTCTGACAAGCATAGCTGAAACATATACAGGTACAGATGCTGCCACCAACATGTTTCACTTTGTCAAAGGTGTTTTTGGTGCTATGCACTGCTTTGTGTTCGTTTTTTTTTTATCTGCATAACCTTTCAAGGGCAAAACATTCTGAAATGGTTGCATCTGATAAAAAACATTCAGATTAAACCATAGATGAACTGCAATTGTTACGGACATGGCAAATATTACTCGTTTTCTGTGACTCTTACATGCTTCCTCAAAATGTAAAGCAGAACTTTTCCTGGCTTTTCTTTAACAAGGTGCATTATTCTCCCTGCTTATTCATAAAGTGCATATTTGGAGAGTGCAAATTCATATCTGTCCTGTCAGTAGATACTTCCATCTAAGATTAGTATGCTCTCTGGTTAACGCTCTGCTAGCCGAGCTGTCAGTTCAGGTGTCCTCAAAAGTTTAAATTTATCACTGAGATATTCAAAGCTTGTAATATTGATTCTTAACCTCACCTTGCTTTAAACTTCTAAACAATTCTCTCCCTGACCTATCGGCTGTGTCCTTCGGCCTTCAGGATGCTCCTTGTTCACTAATGTCCGACACAAAATTTGGATTTATGCTGAGATTAGATGGACTTTAGTTAACATTATAAATAACAAGAGATTCTTCAGAAAATAGTCCATCGTCTTCATTCTGGAAGCTTTTTGTAACATCAAGAGAAAATATGAACCAGTTCCAACTTATTTTGCATGGCTCGGTGTTGCTATAAATGACAGATTCATGTTTCATCAGATCTTTAAGAGGTATGAGCAGCAAGGCAGTCTTGCACAGAGCCTAAACTTGCCCCAACATAATATCATCAAAACTAAGATGCTTTTCCGGAAAAGTGCGTGCAGCGAGTGCATGGTGGCTTATTAGTCAGACTCAGAGAGTCATGTTCAGTTTACAGTCAGTCAACAGCCTCTCCTGTTTCACTGGCTCAAAGCTATTATATTCACACCGAGGGGGTGGAGGTCAGTCCACATCTCACCTTCTGTAGCATCTCTATCATAGTAAACGGTGGCTGTTGATAATGGCCTGGTTGAATTTGCTCTTTTCCTATTAAAACAGATGCACTACTCATTATTTCTTTTTTTCCCCTTCTTACAGAGTTTGCAAAAGTAATGTTAATATTTAGTCATTTTACTAATTTTCAGAAGTATGTTCAGAAGTTTTTTTTTTTATGATATTAAACAACTAAAGTTGCATAAAACCAAAAAGCTGAAGGGAAAGGCAACATAAATGTCTTTATATATAGATATATATCTAGTCTGTACAATGGCAGCCATGGCTAAGAGACTAGAGCTTCTTAGCCTGATGGGTCAGAAGGGGAAAACATTTCGATAGGACATCATTAGTGGAGTACTGTTAGTGGAAGAGAGGAAAGAAGGAAGCTATTAAAAAACAAAAAAAAAACAAAAACAAAAAAAACATAAGAAGATAAATTCATAGTATGAATAACCCATGGAGGCTACAGAAACATGGTATGTATTGAAAAAGTTGTTCTTATTAGATCTCTTTCTGAATTTCATGCAAAAATACTGTATGTGGCATAACTTCCCACTGCTATCTACACACATGGTGGTGGCAGTATCTTGGTGTGGGAATAACTTAGAAGATGGACAAAGCTAAACACATGACAATACTGCAAGAAAACAAGTTAGCGACTGCAAAAGACTTGAGGTTTTATGATACAGTTGAAACATGCAATGCTTTGCAAAAAAAAAAAATAAAAATTAAATGATAATCTTATTTACTGATGACAAATAGTTATCAAATGTAACCTGGTTCAAACTGAATATATAATATGCCCAGGTTAAACCTTTAATTAAACGTGTAACACCTTTTCAGTGTTTTTCTTTAAATCTAACCTGACTGCAGCGTGTCTAATAATATGAAGTAGGCAGGAAATCTTAAAAAGCAGTTCATCATCTCTTGATTTGAAAAAATAACTTCAGATTAGAAACAACATTGATGACTTGAATCAGCCTGGAAAATAATTACAAAATTTTTATAAGGTTTTAAATGGAACAAGAATAACTTTTTCCCATTGAACCAAGTAGGTTTCAGTTAGGGCTGAAACAAATAACCAGATTTATCATGCTTAATTATTGAAATAATTACTAATTTACTAATCAATTAATTGTTAACTGGAGAGTAGAGACTTCAACCTGCCTTTTCCTGACAGAGCAACAATAATTCTACCAATATTGTAAAAAAAAAAATATGGAAACATTTTCATTTAAGATTAAAAAAACGTGTTCATCTATCAATATGCTCTATACAGAACTCCAAAACTAAGCATTTTAGTTTCACCCGGTTTAATTTCGCAAAAAGTCTTATGTAAGGAACCCTTTGCTATAGGATATTAATGGATTAATCTAAAAAAATAATCTACAGATTAATTGATTGGCAAAATAATAATTAGTTGCAGCCCTAGTTACAGTCCATATTCTTCAAATAAATGGAACATATGAATTAGAATGAATGTGCCAATTGTTACAAAAAAGAAAATAACTTGTCACAGTATTACATTTCCATTTCTAAATGCACAAAAAAAAAATGTCTGATTGTATTTGGTAAAAAGCTTGAAAACCTTATTCTCATCTTTCCTCTCTCTTCACAATTATCCACTACTTTGTGTTGGGCTATTAAAGAAATATATATATATATATATATATATATATATATATATATATATATATATACTCAAAGTCTCTGGTAGGAATGTGACAAACTGCTGTAATTTGTCATGCTTTGGGGTTTCTGTGTTTAAAGGAGTCTTGCTCAGATATTGACGGTGAAGGTAAAAACTATCATTCTGACCTAAATGCTGACGCAGAGGTTCTTATGTTGCACAGTTCTGATCTCCACCACATCTCAGTGCTTTTTACTTTTCCAGAGGCCCATAAAAGTATCAACTTGTATATTTTGTGAGGTGTAGAAATCCTGAGATTTGCAGTTTAGATGTTTCACAAGCATTTCCTTTGCTGTACCTGCACTTTTTATTCCTTTTTTATTTGCTTGACATCTTTGGCAGAACACTTTACACAGTTATTAATTGTCTACATGTGGTAATAAATCTTTTGTCCCCCGTGAGGATTTTAGCATTGTGCAGCCAGTGTACACAGCAGGGTCATTAACAGCCTTGTGATAGATAAGGAAGCAGGGGGGGAGTTAGTCATTCCACATTGTCATCAGAGTATTATGGGATTGCCTGAGACAGCAGATTCCCTCTGCAGCACAGAAACTACCCTTGTGAGGTGATACAGATATTAACATAATAAGTTGTTGTGGCATACCTTCTTTGGCCTCAGCTCCACCTCTGTGATCCGGGAAGGGTCCACCATAGGTCTGGGCCGCCGCAGGTTTTCTATCAGGCTTTGCCATTGTGTCGGCAGGCCCACGAAGCAGCCGCGTTTGGCATCAAACGAAGTATGAACACGGTGCTCAAAGTTTTTTGGAGCTGATATCTCTGGCCTCTTCTTTTTCTTCTTGCGAAACATCCTGAGGTCCAATAGAAAGGCTGCCTTCCTGCTTCAGTATGTCCCTGAAGAAACAGGAGCAGGCAGTTTGAAGAATCTACACTCTTATTGCATACAGCACATTGTTAAATAACTGTAATTTTGTCCTTTGAATATAAACAAATCTTTTTTTGCCTGTATGTTTAAACATGTGTCCATGGCCCTTTATTATCTACCTTCTGCTCAAGTTTATTCAAATAAAATCTCCACCACATGGACGTATATTCAAATGGCTACAATTGAAGCTCTTCTGTAAATGTCTTGCATCTGAGACATGTGAATATCCTACATTTCCTTTGCCTTAAAGGCTGTCACAAGCTTCTCAGAGTGAAAACGGCTCGAGGGAGAGTAGATGGATTTGTTAGCACATGTTTAATGAAGGATATCTGGTCAATTAGGGCTCATTCATTCTCGCTGCCCTTTTACAGACGAGCACGCGGCCATGCTGGCCATCGCCCACAGGCTGTCAGCGCACACAGGAGGCCACACACAAGGATATCTTTAAACTCTTCTATAAGTCTTATCTTAATTAATAGCTTTTGTTGCTCTTGATTGCAGTACGTTAGCCAGTTCATCTTTGGTTAGACATTCTGAGCTATTAACTCAGGTTTACTTTCTGTTCAGCTTTACCTTATTTCTAAATGGAGGGAAGTAATTCAATTATATTACAGCTTATTTTCTTAGCAGAGTTTCTGTATTATGAGATAATGGCTCCTGCTTCAGTTCTATGTTAATTTCAATGCTATTTTATGCAAATCATATTGTAGAGGACGTCCCAGCCAGTGATGCAAGAAAGTGTCCTGCAGGAAAATTCAATCTTCAGAATCCCTTCTCTACATGAGAAACTTTTTCTTGTGATTTTGAAAAAGAATAATTTTCAGGGGTGTTGCAAAACAACCATTTCATTTTTTATACAATACAGATGTTGCAGCATTGTATATTAATCAATACTGATATTGACCGATAATGATAGAATGATAGAAATGGCTTGATTAAGTGATATTTCTCAGAGAAAAATACTTAACATCAGGTGTGAGAAACAATGACCCATTTCTTATTTACCAAAAATAATCTTTAAACAAAAGCAGTTCTAAGCAAAAATGTTTCTATGAGCTTTTAGAGGCAGGGCAATATATACTCCAGTATTCATTTTTTGGCTGATATGGGACCAATTTTCTATATAAATATCAGATTAGGCCATCCCTAATAATTTTCTCATAATTTATATTCAAATATAGCAGCTGGATAGCTCAAGTGGTAAGTCACCCATCCTGCAAACAGGTAGCCTGTGTTTGTATCCCAGCTGGGAGGAATGAGCTGCCAGTGTGGGTCTTTAGGCAAGACCCTGTACGCTAATGCATGCTTTGGGGAGTGGTGGCCTATTGGTTAGGGCGAGGTTCTGAGTTTCGAGCCCTACTCCAACGGACTGAGCACAGACCCTTAACTGCTCCCTGGGTGCTGCACAATGGCAGCCTACTGCTCCCCAAGGGGATTGGTTGAATGCAGAGAAATCATTTAGTTGTGACACTTGTGACAGTGTAAAGACAATAAAATGCTGGGGGGAAAAATTAGCAGTACATGCACCTAAGTAACCATGAATAGAATTTATATTTCCATATTTTAAAACTCAACAAAAGAAATTAAGTCTATATATTATATGAGTAACTATATACAGAAATATTTTGATGATTATACTAAAACCCCAAATTCTTTTTTTTTTTTTAGAACATTATATTGACATTTATTATCTGCTTTTTATTCTTAAAACTGCAGTGGCCTGCATCTGAGTTAATACGCTGGGTTTACTAAAGGGCGACAGTGGCGTCGGATGTAGGAGTTTGCCCTGAAATCGAAGGATTGATGTTTCAAGTCGTTGTTACCTTGGGCAAGACACTTCACCTGCATTATCTACTGATGGTGGTCAGAGGGCCCGGTGGCGCCAGTGTACGGCAGCTCCACTTCTGTCAGTGAGCCCCAGGGCAGCTGTGGCTACAATGTAGCTTGCCATCATCAGTGTGTGAGTGAATGGGTGAATGACTGAATGTAGTGTAAAGCGCTTTGGTCAAGTCTCCTGACTTGAAAAAAGGCGCTATATAAGTACAGGCCATTTACCATTTTACCATTTACTGAAGCCAAGTCCAAGTCTGTCTGTCTACAACCACCATATAAAACTATAAAATGTTAAAAAGCTAACAAGAACTGTAATTAATACCAGAAACATGCCATCACAATAACCATGCATCTACATGATCTGGACATTGAAATGCATATCTGTGTCCAAGTAGAATTTAACCAGCAATAATGTGGTACAAACAGGGACCTTCAAGGTGCCCTGAGTTTATCTGATAATCTCCCATAATGCACTGTGAAGTGGTGGGAGCTGAGAAAATGAGTTTTGCACCCCCCTGTGACCCAGCAGGCAATCACGCTTGACAGCCTTTCCTCCCTCCACCTCCATCGCTGACACCAGCATGGCTCTAAACGATGCCTGTTAGATGTGCTGGTAACCAACCCATGCCACTCACCCGGCCGCATCACAATGAGGTCAGGATAAGCAGTCACATGTGCTAAGCTCTGCTTCACTGCAGGGAAGGGGTACTTGGAGGGTGGTGTCCCTCTCCAAGGGTAATTCAATCACTCAACTAATTTGCTAAGTGTTGCATAAACATTTCACTATCTCCTTATGTACGTAACGTGCTGCTGGGAAAGACCCGAATGTCTGGCAGAGACATTATGTTGTTGGAAAAGAACAGTTGAGGAACAGATCATATACAGACCTATAAACATGTTTTTAACGCTGCATTGTGGCTTCTTTTTCCATTAACCAGCAGCAAAACTGCACTGCAAAAGCAGTTTTTAGGAAAGGGAAAACATGTATGGACGTTTTTTTTTCTTATTTCCTGTCTGGAAAGAAAACATATTTCTAGCAAGCAAGTTTTGCACAAAAAAAAGCTAATTTTATAAATATACATTTCAAACCATTTCTTCAGAAACTGTTTCAGTTCATCTTAAGCTTGGTTTACCAGTTACAAGGTTTGTCAAGAGTAAGACCACTTAAACAACTCCTGAAGGTTATTTTCTTTCACTTATCGAGATGTATGTATATTCATTTAAACTTTTAATGTTGCATTTGGGCTGCTCTTTTTTCAGGATGCTATCATCTTACAACTATCAAATTCAACAAACATAATTAAGGTGGATGTTCAATCAATCTTCTTCATGCACTGAAAAATGATCTAAAAATCAGTAATCCTTTCTTAAGGGTAAATATCTTTGTTTTAATTTTGAGTAGGTAAATAATATGATAATATGATCTGTAAATAGAATGTTAAAATAGGATAATTAGATGTTATGCACTTAAAATGAGAACTGCATTCCTTTTAACTCTAACTTATCTTATTCCATTGGCAAAGTGTCTCACTTATCTACTCAATTCTAGAAAAAAAGCAATAGAAAATTTGACTTGACTCTGATTTCTATTTTTTGCTAACCCACTGGGTCAGAGCAGAAACCAGTTCATGTCTGTGTTTTGGGAAAACTCAAACTGTGTCCAAGTTTCAACCATTAAGCTATTGATTTATTGTCATCTTAAAGTTTAGAAGGGTTATTTATTATTTAAATCTATCCTACCTACTTTGTGTGATAAGGCTGCCAGCACCACTGGCAGCCACAGGTCCAGCCACTGGATGCTCAGCATGATGCTGCCACCAAAATGGTTGTTATAGTTTTCCCTGATGTAAAAGCCAGACCTTAACTTTTACAAACATAATTTTATCATCATGACAAAATAGTTAAATATCTGTCACATTGACAGCAAAACATTGCTGTGTGGATTGATAATTTAGTTCAGCCGTACATTTCCAGTGACAATTTTATGTAAAGGTCTGATCAGCACTGCAGATACAAGATTCTGGCACTGACCCAGCTAACTTTGACACAGTTTTGCATTCAGGAATTTATTTAAACGGAGATCAATCACAATTTATTCTGGAATGAAATGCAGAGCGCAGTCTTCCCTTGCCAGCAGAAATGATGATACAGAAGCACAAAGGGAAGAAGATTTTATGGCACCTCACTGAGTTATCGACAGCTGAACCTGCAACCAAATAGGGCATAATTGAAGCGTCTAATAATTTGAAAAAAAAAAAATACGTAAAAAATACTTAAAAAACTTAAATAATATACCCATTTATAGGCTGCACGATATAATTACTTCAAAAGTTGATGCACTCACTTATTGATTTACAAGGTTTAATCACATGCAGCTAGCTTTATTATGACCTCTCGGGCTCTGCTGAACTCATGACAGCTTTGATAACAGTATCCTATTGATCTTCAGGATAAAGTATATATATATATAACATACACAGAGCACAATCTCACTTTCTGCGCACATCTTCTCCCAAACTGTTGGGACTTGACCCTATGCCTCAGTGGCTTGTCTTGTAGACATCAAAGTGCAGAGACAGTACTCAGCTGGCTGCTGTCAGGGGCATGGAGACCTGGAGAGGATGAGGTCATCCTAAAAACGCTGTTGGAAATACTCAGGTTTTTTCAAAGGATGTTTTCATTTTTATAACTTTTGATCCAAACAGGAATAACGAAAAAAAAAAAAGTAAAAGCACAAATTTGCAGATGTACCCAGATACTTGCATATGCTTGAGTTACAGAGGTTTAGATACATTGATACGATTTTATATTTTTTTTGTTGCGTTGTTGTTCCTCTTTAAGCTCATTAATGTCATCCATTTAACATTCTAGTTAAATTGACAGCAGGCCTGGATTATTTAAGGTACTACCGCAACCCTGCTGCTTCCTTAAGCTCTTAGGAAAGAATGGTAGACCTTCTATGTTTCTTGGATAAAATTTCAAGAATGAGTCATGTTCATCTGTTTAAACAATTTTGGCTGGCATAAGCATCATGGGAATATCCAGTCATCATAATGTCCCTGTAGCGAACGTGGTAGGATGTGAACTCTGAT